TCATTCCCAGACATGGGTTGATTTAAGATTTTTTTAAAAGGTCAATTACTCTGCTTGGATGAACTGAATGGCTAACTTACCAACCCTCCGTAGAAGAGCTGAAAATGTGGCCTAGAGTTATATGATGCACTGGGACTTCTGGTAACTCACGGCACTGCCTTCTGGGTGGTGTTTATTCTATGCCACAAACACCTGAATGGCTGAAACTGAAATCACGCCAGCTTCTCTGTCGGGGGTTCCAGCACTTTGTGGACTGGCGTATGTGTCTGACAAAAATCTGGGGAATGCTTGGCCTTTCATTCCTCCGAGAATCATGCCATTTTCCAAGAAAAGCTAAATAGCTCATTCATGTTCTACCCTCACCTTCTTCCAGGCTGGTTTCCTGAGGATATTTTTTAGCTAGACGGGTGTGTTTTCTTTTTTTTTTTTTTTTTTTTTCTTTCTTCTTCTTCTTTTTTTTTTTTTAAATGGGCTGCTGTAAATTGAAAGTTTTAAACCTAAAACTTACATGGAATGATTCTCGAGTGCATTATGAAATGAAGACTTGTGTCCTTATTTCATCTCTGACGGATAAAACACCCCGGACACATGAATGGTGTCCGCTCCGGTGGCTTTGCCGGCAAAGTCCCCCAGAGCATAACTCGAATCCACATGAAGCCCTCGGCTCTGTTTCCGAGGGCAGCCGACTAATAAGTACCATCAGGTAGCCATGCTGTTCTTTCTTTCTTTCTTTCTTTCTTTCTTTCTTTCTGCCTCACTGTTATCCTCAAGAGAAGCGAGGAATGTCATATTTCAAGGGCTCCTTACACAGGAAGCCCCGGTGTGGCCTTAACACAGACTGAATTCTCTCGGGGGGAAGTCAGGGGGTAACCTAAAAAAACTTGAGGAGAGGAACAAAGCCCCTAGACCGGATGGCCTCCATCTGGGCTTCCAGAAGGAGATTGATAAGACTCTGTGTGTGTGTGTGCGCGTGTGTGTGTGCGCGCGTGTATACACACACACACTGGGGCGCACTCCAGACCACCCCAATCCTTGCAGCCCATTTTCAAATGAGGAGCTATCAAGAACTGCACGTCTCTGCGTACAGATTTACTCCCCAAAACTAGCAATAAGCTTTAATACAGAAAAAGAAAGACTGGGTCTGTCTTACAGAGACGGCTCAGGCCAGTGGGAACTGGGCAGGTGAAAAGTCCAAGAATCTACAAAAGGGCCTTAGAAAACAAAAGAGACAGCCTGGCTACATAGAAACCTGGTCTTCCCAAAGCTGAAAGCAAGTCTCCCCTTCCTCAAAAGGATGGGACCAGCCAAGGGTGGGTTCAGAGGGGACAATGCCGAACTGCATCGTCTCTCCCCACAGGGAATGAAAGCCTACGGTGGGCCAGGAGCGCACGTGTATGCAGCCAGGGCCGGGCGGCTGGGCTACAGGAGCAAATCAAGGGCCTGGGACGCCAGCCTGCACTCTGTTGGGAGCTTGCTGAACGTGGCTCTGAACAAGTAGGTTAATGTCTCCCGCTCAACCACCAGAGGAGCTGAGGATCAGCCAAGCGTTACCCAGCACCGGCCCTGCCTTCCGGGAGCAACCAATGCTCTATCGAGTTTTGTGACGTATAATGATGATGCACGGTGTGGCTCGTCCGTGAGTACGACACAAGCGACGCGGCCCGATGCCAGGTGACATCTGACCCAAAGGGTACTGGGAACAATGGACCACCTTACTGATAAACTCAGAGATGGCAATAATGGGGTTTTCCACAGCACGCATCACCCTCTGACCCAGGGTGGGGATCAGTGTCACAGTGGGAAACAGGTGGCCCGTTCACATGGGCAACTGGGGAGAGGCAAGAGAAGGGTCAGTGATCAGAGGGCAGTCAAGTTCAGAAGGCCAGTACTGTGGCGAGCACTTCTCACGCCGAACCTGAGCAGCCCTGGGGAGAACCAGTCCACTTGGCGGGGACGGTGGTCTCCCTAGGAGGGAGGGTGGTCCCACCATTGAGGAGGGTGGACTCCCACCTCTGGGGAGGGTGGCTGTCCCCAGGAGGGAGGGTTGGCTTCTACACTGAGGAGGACCGAGTGGAAGAAGACTGATCTCCTCCCAACAAAAAACAGACTGGGAGGTCAGTACCCTGAGCTCACTGTCCTGCTCTTCAGCCTGTCTCCTTACCTGGCAGAACCTGAGCGAACGGAAGCCATTGTCTCCACCTTTAATGGCCCATGGCCCCAGAGTTCCTCATAAAGCAGGGTAGAAAAGGGTAGAGAGGGGATCTGGAGGGGCCAATGGACACCTCTCAGCCCACATACTGTGAATCACTTGTAAAACTTGTAAATACTCATTTCTGGTTGTCCATCTTCCCCTACAAGCTTTTTTGTTTTTTGGTTTTTTTTTTTTGTTTTTTCATTTTGTTTTTGTTTGTTTGTTTGTTTGTTTGTTTGTTTGTTTGTTTGTTTGGTACTGGAAATTGAACTCAGGGGCACTTGACCACCGAGTCACATCCCCAGCCTCCTTTATTTCTTCTTTATTTTGAGACAGGGTCTCACTAAGTTGCTTCAGGACCTCACTAAGTTGCTGAGCTGCTGG